AATAACATATTGTTTCATTTTAAAATATAAAAATATTGTAACCCTAATGTGTATTTCAATTGTAATATTTCTGTAAAGTCTAGGGACAGAAAAGTGGACGTTTCTGTAGAATGACCCATAAACTAAAACAAATAAAATTTGATTTCGTCCTATTTTTATTTTAGTTATTTATCTGTTGCATAGCTCGCCCTATTGGCCTTTTATTATGTCAGATGAAAGCAAGTGCCATGTGTTATTAACAATATATTTGTGAATGTATCTGTGAGTTTGACCGTTTCTGAGTCTCCTCGTGTGGCTCCATCTCCAGAACCCCTGTCCTCGTTCTTCTCTTGACCCAGCTTCACTGAGGAGGACACGCTTGTTGTTTCTCGGAAGTGACGAAACCAAAGTACTGATGGCGGCTCACAGTTTGCTCCCGGATATGTACTGAAACGAATTTGATGGCGTCTAATTGGACTTTTTGCTTACTTGGCCGTTTGTCTGAAGTCTTGAGATTACCATCGAACCTGTCGAGCACAAGAGTCGTCAATCCGAGGAGGTATCATTTGCTGTAGAGCTGGCTAGATCCAGAGCTAGCTACCTTGCCAATGAAATACAAGTCCAGTTAGCCTGTGTTCGCAGAGGTTTGTTTGTTTGTGTGCGTGACTACACACTTTAAGACGTTTGACATTTTAACAGTGTTGTGTCACTGGCTGGTCCAAGTGTAGCAGAGTGTCTGGTTTCTGTAGCTTGGCTAGAGGCGCTTGCGTTACTTTAAACGCAAAGAAGCGGCGGGAAGTGGTTAGCCGACCTGATTAGCTGTAGCCGTAGTTCTGAAGTCACTGGTCTCTAGTGGATAGTGTGAGTCTCTTCTATGATTCACCGTTGTGCTGTTCGTCGACTGTCAGCATGTTGAAGACACGACAGTGTTTACTTGGGATTCGCACTTTTCTTGGAGTGACGTCTAGAATATGGAGTTTCATTTTATACATCCTCAGGAAGCATCTACGAACGGTGAGCAAGTCAACATATGTCATGTGAATACATGTTTTTTCTGTTCTGTATATAATGTATTCCGACATGTCATCTGTAAATAATGTTTTTTCTTTATTTAAGGGCTCCCGTCTTCAAATAATCTTCAAAAGACAAACATCTCCAAGCATTGTTGATATGTTAGAAACTTTGTAACAAGTAATATTGTTTTCATGCACAAATTCCTAAGAGTAACCAGTCCTATTGTTTGTTTTAACCTTTTAACCCTGCTCAGATTTTTGGAATTTATCATATATTTACTGAGCTGTCACTTATGCAAAATTTTATGGCCCTCAGTGCAAACAAACATGCACTATTCAGCTGGGTCATTGTAGGATCTGTAATAATAACATTAACTTGGTATATAATTTGTTATGTGCTGCTTTAATTGTTGATTTGTGTTTAAGTACTCCTACTCATTGTATCAAAAAAAGTTTTATGAAACTTTGGCACAGTAGTAAGTTTCAGATTGTGCCTGCGTCTGCTGTATCTCTGTAATCCTGGGGAAGTTTGTTTATGGTGCTGTATGTCCTAATTACTTTGGTCTATGGACCCCTACTATATGTTGTTTAGCCTGCCGTGAAGGGAGTTACAGACCCAGAACTATTAAAGCACAATACGCTCACTGAGAAAGGTATCAAATATTTCCATACCGAGTCTTGACAATAAGGTTTTTTTTCAGCTGGCTAAGATTTCTACAATGTTTCAATTTACCCCACTCTAAAATAATCTTATAAATTTTTTATTCTTCATGTATATGTTTTGTTAAAAAATAAGTTTTAATTTCTAATAATTGTTAAGAATAATACGGCTATCATGTAATTTCATAAACACACCGTTGCTGGAAAACGGTGGCATACCGTGATCTGTTTCTATTTTTCAAACCGGTCTAATTGATGCATCCAAGACTATAATGTTTGGGGCTTCTCTGCAAAAACAGCTCAAAATGACCTTGGGTTGTTTCACGTAACTACCTGAGTGAAAACAAGTGGCATGTGTGGCCTAGTAAATTGTGATTTAGTGCTTTTACTGCTACTACCTTTCAGTTTTTTTCACGAACATCAATTATGTATTTTTTTTATATATATAAGTTTTATGCTAATCACACAAAATGGTTTGTATTTTATACATAAGTCACATTGCATAAGTAGATATGAAAAGTACACTGATTTTTCTACTTGCCTTACACTTCTGTGACTTCTTTTGGCAGCTGTTTTGGAGGTGTATTAATAGTCCAGTAGTGGCAGTATGGGGCCATTCTAGGTGCGTAACTATATAGATGTCTGCTATACGATGCCCTCATCTGAGCTTTGCGCCAGCGTGATGAAAGGGGCGAAAGAAGT